TCCTCGTTTTGTAACACAGCACTCATTTTCCTCACTTTATTCTGCGTGGTAAATATCTTTGTTAGTTGAAGACAATGCTGTTAGCTTTCACAGAGAATAAAACTGGAGAGATAAAAAAAGCCCATTTTCCTCCACTGTGGGCACAACAATAAAAGAGAAGATGGAGAGGGGAAAATAAGAAAAAGCATCCAAAAAAGAAAAACTGTGTAAGCGGGATTAGTTTTTCTTTCATGGAGAGTGTAGGAAAGTATTTTCAGGACCTACTGATAGCTACATATGCTGTGCTCTAAAATCTCTTCAGCAGCAAAGCTAACCCTCTTGTGCCCTTGTTTTCACAAAACCAACCGCTTCTTTTTAAGAAAGGGCAAAGAAGGTGGGATAGAAGTTTAGTAAATGCTGTACTGCACATGAAAGCATTATTTTTTGAATGGTGATTTCTGAAGCACTTTCAGCAACACCGGTCTGCACCCCCAGAAAAGCCTCCTGTGACTGAGCTGGTTCAGCCTCACAGAGCAGATGGACCTGCAGTGGAGGCAGGCAACTAAAGAGGGGGTTTTGGGGAAACTAACTTCCCAGGAAAGCAGCAGGGCAAGGAGAGAGGGAAACGAGAGAAGAGGCAATCCATCTAGGGAACAGCAGTTAACTCATTTTATGGCACTTTATATCTTCCAAACACAGTGTAAGTATTTAATTATGGTATCACCCCATGGGTGGAGAGAGGTGATGTGTCCACCCACTCATTTGCAGTGACAGCCAAACTGAATGAAACAGGCTGCTTGCTGATTCCCCATAGCTAGAAGCCAAGTGGTCCTAGGTCATACTACTTTGGGGCTTTTCTCACAAGCTTTGGAGGTGCTGCTGAAGCCCAGCAGAGACCTGATTTGCAGCACAAAGCGTTGAGTCTGTTCCTGAGTTGCCAGCACAGCACACGTGGCTTCTCTCAGTCTGTGTAGCTTATTTGGCTGTTCTGAGTCTAGCACGGATCAATGTGAACCTCTCTTTAGATACAGTACTTTTGTATTAGTTGAACGGAAAGCAAAAACACAGTATCACCAGCACATGGGAAACATCGATCTATGTTTGTACAGGGAGTGATTTATTTATTACCTTGTTATCTGTAAGGGAGCACACACATCATGTGAAGTTATATAGCTCTGTCCTTGTCGGCCTGATTTTCCCAGTGATGTTTTGTTTCATATCTCGTCTTGTGAAGTGCACATCAGAAGTCCAGTTAGATTTCCACATGACAATGCTGCTTTGGACAATTTATTACTTGCATGGCATGGCAAAGGGGGAAGCAAAAGAAACCGCGCAGGAGCATTTTAAGCACTCCTCAGATGGTCTTTTAAACCTTTTCATAAGTTGTGGTCTGGTCAAGTCTGACTTTTTCCTCTTTTAGCTGCAGTCAATGTGCATGCTGCCCAGCAGCGGCCCAGGGTCTGGAGAGTGTTTTCTGCAGGAATAACCCCCCCATTCAGCAAAAGATGAACCTCACTGGCATTTTAGATAGCAGTTTGCATGTCTCTGAGCAGATCTGCACCTCACCCCAGTCCCTTCAAGAAGAAAGGTCCTACAGAAAACTCTGACCCCAGTAATCAGACCTTAATTCAATACAGGGAAGAGAATGTAAGTCCTTCATAAATAAGTAAATGCTACTTCTTGTTTCTCTGTGGCACATAATACAGCACTGCTGGGGCAGTTGAAAGCCAATGGAAATTCTTGCTGCTGCCATGCAGGCGTCCCTTCCGTAGGTCATCTCTGACCCTTTCTCAGGCTCGATCTCAATTCCTTTTCTGACTGAGATTCAGTTCTGTATGCAGCTGTGGCTCTGGGACTTTCCAAAGCCGCTGTCTGGGAATCTGGCATAGCAGCAGAATGCAATTCACTGCATGTGACCTCTTGCTAAAACAGAAAAAAAGGGTTGCCTATCTGTTAAAGAAGTAAAAACCGAAACAGAACAGAGCGATACAACTCTCCCAGGTTTCTTTCAGTGCTTGGTAGGAGGAGGGTAATCAGATCTCAGAGAATGGTGTGCCAGGAAGGAAATTTCTTCCCATGTGCAGCATACAATCAGCCAGGTGCAATATGAGGAAGGGAGGTTCGTCTTCCTCTGAAGCATAAGGTATTAGCTCCTGCCAAAGGCTGTGTACCAGAGATCTGATCAGATACGGCAAATTTTATGTTCCTATGCACAGTGTGAAGCTTTCATTTCTACGCAACACATTGTAGCAAGTCAAACAATGAGTCATCTCATGAGGGGGGGAAGGAAAGAAAGCTTTTATCTCCCAGTGGATTGGAGATAATCTCTCTACCTGGGTATAAACAGCTCTTCACCGTGTTGCCTTCTCTCCAGGGGAAGGAAGCTATTTTATATTTGTCTGTAAAACAGATACCGAATTTTCACACCTCCCAAGCCTTTCTACCTCGGCCAAATAAATGTAGCAGGCAAAAAGTCTTCGACTTTCATGGTGACTTGGTTGGGCCCCTGTGAATAAACACAGTACTCTAGGCTGTATATGCTGTATGAGCTGGCTGGGGAGAAAGGGAGTGCCAAATTTTCCATGGAGCCCTGGAAAATCTGTGCCCAGACTGAACATACTTGCTATTTTACTGTAAAGCGGCATACCACCCTTATGTGGACAGAGTTACGTTGGTACTATTTTATCGCTATACAGGAAACAGAAGCTAGAGCAATGCTAACGGTGCCACAGCCTCAGCTCTTGTTTTCCTCTCCAGTGTGGCTATAGCATCTGCAAGCATCACAGCATGTGCAGGAGGGGTGGGACAGGCTGAATAGACCTTTCTCAACCATAACCACGCTGATAACCACATACAGACACTGTTACAGGGACTGTTCTAAGCAGCCCTTCTTTATAGACCCCAGCCACCTAGGGGGAAGTGTGGCCATAGCTCTTGATCACTGACTTTACAAGGGGCATGGAAAGAGAGCATGCCTCTCTTCTATGAAAGGGTACACACCGAGGATGGATGGGGCCAAGGACGTGGCTTCCTGCCTGCTCTGCACCTCAGAAGGAGCAGCTGGAGGAAAATCCCATTTCACAGTGGAAACCTGGAACGAAATAATGTCCTAGAAGCTTTTTTTTTCAGGATGCTGAGGCAGTTCTTGTTTCTTAACATGTCTCAGATAAGCCAAGGTGCCTAAAATAATGAAGTATTTCACAGTCCAGTGCTTAGAGTAATTCTTCGTCAACGTGACATTCCTCTCTTGCAGCTTCCCTTGAGACTTTGCACATTATGGTGTGGGGAGAAAGGGGATTCACTGATGTTTGCTTACATTCCCATGCCTGGTCTCATTTGGTAACACAGTCGTTGTCTCTTCCTGCCACAGGTTTGCAGCCTGTGTACTGGAGCAGGGATGATGTGGCACAGTGGCTCAGGTGGGCGGAAAAGGAGTTTTCCTTGAGGCCGATTGACAGCAACACGTTTGAGATGAACGGCAAGGCTCTGCTGCTCCTGACCAAAGAGGACTTTCGATACAGGTCTCCTCATTCAGGTGAGGATTATTTACAGAAGCTGCGATTGAAAATAAAGAGGAAACTGCAGCAAAATCTGGAGAAGGTCAGAGGAGGAAATGATCACATTTGTTGGGGTGGACTGGGCAAGGGGAAGAGAGGAAAGTCAGAGACACTTGTATGAGACAAGGACAGAAAGGACAAGGAGGGAATTAAATCCTGGTGCACCTGAGTTGCAGGCAAATTTGAATGCAAATCCAGACACAAACCCAAACATCCAACTTGTTTCTCGTTAAAACTCCCTGCAGAACTCCCAGAAAGCAAGCTTCTCTGGCAGCACTTTGTGACTTCCAGCTTTTCCCTGCAAAGGCTTATCTTTTCACAGACCCAACTACAGCAGCAAGTTAATCGAGTGCTCCAGCCTCTTTAAGAAGCCTGTATTAGTATTTTGCCTCACAGTTGGCTTGGCTGACGCGCCGCTAAAAGTGACTGCAAAACTCCTCCCTGGGGGACCTTTCCTCTATTTTACAGCCCCTGTGGGCTTTACTATATTCTCTCACGTGCTGGAGTCCAGCCCAAGCACGGCACAGACAGGTGTGTGAATCAGTCTGCCTATTGCTCAAATTATGTCTTCATTTCTTCACAAAGAAGATTTAGAAATGTGTATGTTGCCTGCCTGTATTTATATCCCCTGCGGTCTGTCTGCTCCAGTTTTACAGTCAGAGTAAGCCTCTGCCCTCCTTTGTCAGGGATGTTTAACTAAATATGAGTTACTGGTTCTAAATAGGAGTTGTGAGCTTTGCTTTTGTGACCATACAAGGTACTCCTGTTAAATATAAAGGCTTGTAATTCAATCACCATAGGTGATCAAAGAGTTTGGACCAAGCAGTGACAGAATTGCTGCGAGGAAGATTCCAGTGCAAGGCTCATTAGGTGCAAAAGTACAGCTGGTGGTGCTTGGGTCCAGCTGATAGACAAATGACACTAATTCTGCATCAAGGTGCATGGCAACTCTCTTGAATGGCATTGCCACAACCATTCTCCTGCAGAATCTGCCTCACAAACTCTGGCTTATGTTTAGTGTATACAAAGTTTTTTAAGTATGTGCCCCAAATCCAGGACTAATTTTGTATGGAAGGAGATGCCAAACATTAATGTCTGTTGCCAGTGTAATACAGTAGTGAGAACTGGTGCCTAGAAATTTCTTTTTTAAAAAAAGAAATCTAGTATACCATTTTGAGTATTTAAAAAATTAGCCCTGCTTAAGGCAAAAGGAGTATTGAAAGTGAGGATGTGGGCAGTGACCGTAAGGGACACCTTTATATCTTGTCTGCAACTCCTTATCATTCCAGTGCTTTTTTGCGTACAAGTTATGCCCCTGCTCTTCCCCGTGTGTGCTGCGAGGGCACTTGAAAAGAGCAGGATTGAAATGTTTGTAGGCTGGAAATAGAGTGTTCTCAGAGAAGAGCCTCTGGCTTGGAAATCCTCACTTGATGCAGAACCTTAAGCTCTTAGTTAACAAAATGTGCAAGGAAATAACCAAACTAAAGGTCTTCTTCCTCACTTTTTCTCTCTTTCTTCTCTCCAGGTCTTCCCCACTGATAATAAAACTTCTAGAGGATATCTGAGTCAGCCCCTAAAAATTTAGATGGCTGTAGATAAAGGGACATTACCTCAACATTTCCCAGAAATTAACTATACGTGAAATTTAAGAACTATGAAATAATGTTTGCCATAAAGGCATCACATTTTTCAAGAGCGTAGCTACATAAATGCTGGATCCTTTCCCCTCATGGTTAAACCAGGAGAACCACATCCACTCCCTCCAGTGGTCCTAGCAATAAAGTGTGCTCACAGCCCCCCAGCTATTTAGGGCTGGCCAGGGCAGGGATGCAGCAGAGGAGGGAGAGAGTGCAAATTGCTTTTCACCTTCTTAACTAGAATGACTGCAGTCTGGGTGGTGCAGACGCATAACTGTTTGGTTAGGTGAAAAAGAGACAGCCAGCTTTATGGACGTTTTCACTAGCCTGTCAGGCCAGATCTAAACAGGAACAAATTCACTACCTTGCTGCTTGGATTGTAACAGCACTTGTTATGGTTATGCCACTTTTGCATTCAAAGATGCAAATTATGTGGTAAAATCACTTTTTAGCCTTTCATGTACTAAACATTGAAAAGGTAACTGGGTTCTTGAGGCTTTGTTTTTAATTACATTTTCAGGTATTGCAATCACCTTTTAAAAATGCCCTAAAGTCACTGCTGAGACAGTAAGAGCAGCCAAGATGCTAAAAATAAAGCAAGCTGAACTATGGAAAGCGGAATGGCTTTAACTGTTTCATGCTAAGACACTAAACTTGCCCACAAATAGAGCATTGGCAGTTCATGGAGACAAGGGACAAACGGTGCACAGCTTACAATCTCATAGCAACAACTAATAAAAAAACCCCACACACTTGAGAAAACTCTCCCAGAAAATCCAAGGTTTACTAAGCAAAACTTCACTAAGTCCCTTTTCAGATAATATGTTATTACTGCAACCTGTTCCCCTGTAATAATTATTAATATTTAAATAGCAGAAAACAGGCAGAATCAGAAGTCAAGAGACTTCCTACCATGTTGTACATTTTCATTTTGAAATGTGCAACCAGTTACATCAGACAAAATGTTTAAGTACCTGGGTGTTTCATGCAGATGTTGTTGGAGGAAGGCCTTCAGCACAACATGTAAAATATAAAAAGACACAGAATAAGCAGTTAATCCATTGGTCTCTTAGATATTGTGGTGGTATGTGCTACTGAGGAGAGATGTAACAATTCTGGTGCCAAGGAATGGGGAGAGAAGTGAGGAACAGCCTGCCTCCACCCCCAAAAGAAACAAGCACCTGGATCAATTAATGCAAGAATGTGTCAGCTTGGTGCAGGGCAATTAGCTGCAGACATATCTGTAGAAGAGCCATGCAACTGCAACTCACAGATTTTATTAACCCATACAGAGCACCAAACCTGCTTTGTCTTGTTCTTTAGTCTGCATCATTTAAACTGGAAGAGGGTAGATTGAGATTGGACATCAGGAATAAATTCTTCACTGTGAGGGTGGTGAGACACTGGCACAGGTTGCCCAGGGAAGTTGTGGATGCCCCCTCTCTGGAAGTGTTCAAGGCCAGGTTGGATGGGGCTTTGAGCAACCTGGTCTGGTGGGAGGTGTCCCTGCCCATGGCAGGGGATTGGACTGGATGAGCTTTAAGGTCTCTTCCAACCCAAACCATTCTATGATTCTGTGATCATCTCCATGGCCTAATATTGCCTGTTGCAGTAAGCTCCATACAGATCCTAGTAGCTAGAGATAACTAGCTTTGGGATCCCATTTGGGCTTTTCAGGAGTCCAACCCTTGACACTGAGAGTGTTGTTCGGAAGTTCCTAAGTTACCTATAGCACTGGAGTATCTCCAGGACTTGTCACCACAGCAAGGGTGTTCAGGATAATGAAATCCCTCAATTCTTTTCAAGTCTTTGACTCCATCTCGGAGTAACTTCACAGTGTGAGAGTTCTTCTTCCCGTGGATTTCCTAGAATGGAGTATCTGAGTAGCATGCTGCCTCTGGCCTTGAGGCACCAGTGTTGCATGGAGAGGCTTTACAGCATCTTCTGTCTCCTCCCCGGATAAAGCTTAAATTGCTCAGTAATTCAAGAAGAGCACTATCTTTGCTCCCAGCATAGCACTGCATATGTCATAGGCTCTGCATTTAAGAATTCTCTGTCCTAAGATGTCTATGTAAAAACCTGAGGCTGTGATGAGAGAAGGTGGGACACTGAACTAACTACTGCTCGTAAAGGTCTGGAGCTCTTGGATTGGTGGTCATGTAGCCTGAAAAAAACTTTATATTGGTGAATAAAAGCCATGTCTTGTCATTCTTCCACTTTTACATAGACACACACAGAGGCATGATGTGCAGCTTATCTTTTTTTTGTTCCTTTCAGGAAAGAATCTTGCAGAACAGTGAAATGCAGGATTTTACTGCAAGCATTTTGGGGTCTGAAAATAGCACCCAGGAGCCATGAATTCATGCATCAGATGGCTAAATGAGTCTTTTTGGCAGTATGTAGGTTTTCATTTCCTTTTCCCTGCTGTTTGTCTTTCAGGTGATGTTTTGTATGAACTCCTTCAGCATATCCTGAAGCAAAGGAAAGCTCGCATGCTCTTCACACCTTTCTTCCATCCTGGGAACTCTATCCATGCTCAGCCAGAGGTCATATTGCACCAGAATCATGATGAAGGTAACTCTGTCTCATTCTTATGGGAGCTGCCGTTATAGAGGCGCGTAGGGTAAGGCTGTGAGGAATGATGTAATTTCTTTGCTCCAAATTTACTTCAATAAAACTACTTTCCTTTGTCTCCATAGCTTTAGAACAACAAACTGGTCTAGAGAGTCAACTCTCCATTTTTCTTCTACTGTTTTGTCCTGTTTCCAAAGCCTGCTTAAAAGCTATGCCAGATGCAGGTTAAAAAAATACCAGAAAGTTTTATTGACCCCATTGATTTATTTTTCCTCGCTTCCAATTAGACAGACAAAGATGCTTCATGGACTTCTAGTATCCTGGAGATACAACTAGATGCAATTATTTGCAGAGCAAGGGAGAAGACAACCTCAAAGTGGAACATGTAACTCAAAGTCACTTCAGCTGACAATCTGTCAGCACATCATTCCAGCGTTCCTAGCACTGAGCCCATCTTGTTGCTCAGCTTTTGAGCTCATGGAACAATTCTTGTTGAGAGAAGATTTTTTTTTGCAGATTTTCTCTCATTTTTACTATCAGAATTACTTGCTCATGTTATTAGTTGGCTTTCTAGTAGTGTCCATACATACCACGCCTGTCAGAGGTGATGAAGAAAGAATAGATAAGTTTGTGGAATTGCAGATTTGGAATTCTACTCATTATTAGAATAGATCAAAATGTAAGTGTGCTTCCTTAATGGAAAATTGAGGGTTTATATTCTTTAAAAATATACTCATTAAAGTACTTCTTGGTTTTCTCCAACAGCAGAAAAATATAAAGCCCAGGCTTTTTAAAAGGTCCTTTCCATGAAAGCATCAGGCAGAATTAACTTTTTCAATAAAAAAAAAATCTAGGAAAAAATGGTGTTATTCCTTTTGTAAGTAAAGAGAAGAGAACATAAGTGTGTTAGGATATCAGCCTAATCTCTTCTGACTGGAGAAAAGATGCACAAATTATTTCAAGAATCAATATGGGATTGCAAGAGAAGATTCATGAGTACCGTCGGACCCGTACAAGTTGCCCATGGCCAGCCTGAGCAAGCCAGAATCAAATGGCACCAGCAAAACTCTGAGACTGAGCCAAGAGCCAGACAACAGCAGGTGGAATAAGGATGCTACAAAGTGTTTCCACACAGCTGTGTAAATATTTCAGATTAGAAGAGAGTGCTACAGATCAGGATGAGGTTGAACTGGCAGAGTTGTGCAATAGACAGTTGTGTAGTGCATTAAGATAGGCACTTTCCAGAGACCTTTATGAAAATCTCAGTTTTTTTCCTGAAGCTTGGCATTCATCCACAAGTGTTCCCATTCTAAATTTCAAACATAAATACTAGCTGACCTCTCAGACACCCCTGTATTAAAGATATGGAGCAACTTTCACTCTAGCGAGGATTTCACAGGGAAGCTGAGTTGGCTTTTCATGTGTATCTCTTAAAACATACGTCCTTTGCAATCTAGTCCAGCTTCTGTCAGAGCGCAGGATGATTAAGGAACAACTTTGATTTCTTCCTCACAGTACTCCAGCGGCTGATAGTACCACTGTATTTGCTTAGAGAACTCCATGCTATTACTTAAAACTTTTCTTGGCAAAAATTAGTTCTTGTTTTGCTGTGCAAACTTAAATACAAGCAAAAGAAGCTACAGCTTGCCTGCCACAAGACTCTGAGCAATCAAAAAATCTCTATGCCAAGAATTTATAGGCAGGTGAATTTATTTATTTATGTATTTTGACATTCCTTCTTTCTTCTTCCTGTTTCACAGAGTCACTTGGGAGAAACTAGCACAATTACGTTTACCATTTTCCCTCAGCAGAATGCAACTTAGCAAGAAAGGAGAATGAATGTGAGAAACAGAATTAGCCCTGCCTAACTCTCAAACTGTAACGGAGGGGTCAGGTGTTACTTTGGCACAATCTTGAGTGGTTAATAGGTGATGGATCTTCTTTAGAATCCCTCCTTACTCCAGTGATCTTTTTCCATTTTCTTCCACTGGCTTTTGTGCCCATTTCCTAATAGATTATGTACTTACAATCCGGCTTCTAAATTCTTACATTTTAAGTTAGTTAATCCAGAATCAGATGAGACCAACATTTACATATAGTGGCTTCTTCCTAGTTTAAGCAGAGTGGGTTTGAGTGTTTGAAATCAGTTGATGGCAGTTCAGGGTACCTCTGAGATGCATTAGCTTTGACTTGGAATTTGCCCTGTGGGCATCGGTCTCTGTCCCTGTTGAGGGATGAGCAATGAGCAATTGTGAATTACCTACATCTCCAGTGGCCTTTCTGATTCAGCACTGAGTCATTTGATGGGATGCCATACAGGAAGCTTGCACTGTCATTCCTTGCACTTTTTTTATGGGTAAGCAAAGACTGCCAATCTTTGGGATTGTCACACCAGTGATTGCTCACTCCCAAAGTGAGTGCAGCCCCACCCATCCCCAAATGAATCAGATAAGGTCAGCAGTTTTCCTGGGAGCCGAATTCCCTCTCACAGCTTTCCTTGCAAGAAAAGAGCGCTGGTCCTCAGCATGAAGAGCCATACTGATGAGTGAATCTACTCCTGCAGGAAATGATATATCATATGTGTGCAACTTGCAGTCATCACATGTGCCAAGGAATGAATGTGATGAGGATTTTATTCTGTTCAGGGTCATTCGTGGCAGTGGAACTGCTTGGAGCTGAGTTTGAATTGTTCTGTGGTAAACAGCAACTTCGGCCATGAGAGGATTCTTTAGTTAAGTATTTAAAAAGATCGAATCACAGAATGGTTTGGGTTGGAAAGGACCTTAAAGCTCATCCAGTCCAACCCCCCTGCCATGGGCAGGGACACCTCCCACTAGACCAGGTTGCGCAAAGCCCTGTCCAGCCTGGCCTTGGTGAACACTAGTGTGTATCCATTTGTGGTTTTTCTTTTTGCTGCTTTTTAAAGAGTTCCTTGGCCCCTGCCTTCTCTCCACCGTGTCTTGGTTTAGAATCACCATGGTTTGGGAGCAGACAGATAGGTCTGCTTCTGTTTGGAGCTCGTCAGAGCCACCTGAGGTTTGCGGAGAGCATGGTGGAAAGCACAGCAAGGCATTCCTTTCTGCTTTCAAGATAGCTGCTCCCCATAGCCAAGGCACTTTAAGTAAGTAGGACAAACAATACAATATTCTGGTCTATATTCACAGGCCAAGAATGAGCACAGTGTATTTGAATGTGGATAGTCTGTAAAGATAGGACGCTGAGTAAAATTGAGGTGTTGGTTTTCTTTTTACTGAGGCAAAGAAATGAGGCCTTAAGAAAAAACAGCCACAGAGGTAGATACAGTTGTAAATCAATTTCTCTTTGATCTTCACATCATTTGGGTTATCCCACATTAGCTGGCCACATTGTATTTAAAGCTGTTTATGTTTAAACAAGAGGAATATGTAGCTCTGGAGTTTCCAGCTGCTTCATTGTGAGTACCTTAAATAGCTCTACATTTTTCTTGTCTGGGACCACAAGTGTGTGAAATTAGTATTCTGGAGCCATGTAGTTTCTCCCTAAAATTTCAGGTTTTCCTGTAGACTTTGGGGTCCTCGTATAGGTGAACAGCCCATTGAGTAGGCAAAAGGGTTGGTGCAGTGTCACTGCCTGGCACTGAATTTTCTGAGGACTAGAGCTTTTCCTGTTCAGGCCTTTCCATGGGTAAGTGCTGATCCCTCACTTGATGCCTGCCTGGGTTCCAGGGCAGTGGGAGCTCCTGGGTCTTCACCTCAACAGGGTCTTCAACAACTATTGCTGTCTTATCAAGAGAGCAAGAGGATCGTCAAAGAGGATAAGAGCAAATGGAGTGAACAAACAGGCAGCCGCAAATAGGCAGCTACTCATTTCAGTTGCTGACAAGGACCCAGCAGTTTCTTTCTCTTATCAACCAAGGCTTTCAACAAACAGCACTGAAATTTGTTCTTTGTTTCTCAGATAAAAACTTTTTAGTAGCTGCGCTCTGGTGGTATCTTGCTTTTGCCAGTAATATCTCAAGTCAAAAGTGATGGCCTCAGCTAAGCTGAAAGTTTGCACCATTTATGTCAAGCATTTAATTTTGTGGGAGGATTGTTAATATGTAAAGACATTGACCTAGAGTCGTGATTTATCTCTGCCCTACTGTTAAGGATCATAGCTAGGGAAGTGTGCTCATGAAAAAAAGTGATGCTAGCAGTCCTCCTGCTG